TTAGATTTATAATCCGAAAAAAATCCGAACTGAACCGAAAATTTTCAGATTGAAATTTTTGCAATCCGAAACTGAACCGAAGTTGATCTGAACTGAAAATTTTCAAATTAATCTGAACCGTTCGGAGCTTTATATATATCAAACTCTGGTTATAAATCAGCTATAATTATTTATTCGCAATAAACTGATAATAATTTTTTTCTCATTATACCAATAGTTATTATAAAAAAATGGATTTTTTTCTTGATTTAACAAATTTTACTTTTTTTTAATATATCGAAATTATACTAATATAGTAAATATCAAATGTTAAATAAATTAATATAAATATAAATTCAAAAGTTTTATTTCTTTTATTAATCATCTTTTACTATATCTTCTAAAAAAAAAGTAATACATTGTTTATAAGACAAAAGCAAGAACTTTGTCTTAAAAAAATAAATAATCAAAATCTTCAATCACAATTATATAAATAAGTTTATTAATTTTAATTAGATTTTTTTTTATTCTCAAATTTTACAAATAAGAAATAATATAGTATACAATATGCAAATAATAAATAATAAACAAATAATAACTATATTGCATTTATAAACTTTTATTTTTTTTATTATTTAAATTGATATATCAAGAAAAACTCATTATTCTGAATCTTCATTATAACGAATCAAAATTATTAAACTAACAAATTCATTATATTAAGTTCTAATTATAATTAACTAATATAAAACTTATTTTATATAATATTCGCAACTATTTATAATTATTTAAAATTATTTAAAGTTATTCGTGAATTCTTTTGCAACTATTTACAATTTTTTAAATTGTTAATAAACTTATTATATAATATTATATCAATTTACTATATTAACTTAAAGTCTCTAAATCGTAATCTTTAAATATTTTTATATTTATTTATATTTATTTTATATGTTTTATATTAAGAATAATTTTTGATGTTACTGTGAATTTTTACCCTTAAATTTTTGAATAATTGTTATAGTTTTATTTACCTTTTTTTGTGATTTTAATTAAAGTTATGTATTTTATGTAATATTATGATCAAGTCTAATTTTTTGATCATTAGCTAATTTTAGCTGATCAGCTAAAATTAGTGATCAAAATTCAATTGGCATTTAACTATAGTCAATAATTATTTTTTATTGCTTTAGCTATAGCTAAAATTACTAATCAGCTAAATTAACTAAAAGTTATATGATTTTACTAAATTTTGGTTACAGTTTATTTGCAAGTGCAAAAAATTGATACTTTTAATTAAAGTTGCTTATCTAAACTTATTTTGAATTTGGCAAAATATTTAAACTTAGTTTTACTAATTTTTTTATTAAGATTTTAATATAGTTTCATATTTTTATAAGTTTAAGAATTTTGCAGATTTTTTAATAAGGTTTTAATATAATTTTACTAAATTTACTTTTTACTATTTAGATAATAAAACCTTTAGGTTTCATCTAGCAATCTTATCTTTAATATTCAAAATATTCAATTAATTGCAATTTTGCAAGAATTTTAATGTTCTGAAGTTAAAGACATCAATTTTTGTAAAATTGTAATAAATTGAATATTCTAAATATTAAAGATGCCAATTTTGCAAAATTGCAAGAATTTGAACATTCTGAAATGTCAAATATTTTGGCTGGCCAAAACTTAAATAAATTTGGTCATTTTAAGCTAAATGATCATAGCTAACACTAGCTAAACAACTAAATGCCAATACTACCTTAAGTTGATAAGTTTATATAACCACTATTTGATATTTCTTATATAGAAATTTATTTTATAAATAAAATTTTTGATTCTTAAAATATTATAAAAGATAAATATATTATTAATATTAAATTTATATTTTGTTTCTAAATTAACTGTATGCAAAATAAATAAGTTTATAAAATTTCATTTATATAGGCTAATTAAAGGGTAAATTAGATATTTTACCTTTTTTGACCAAATAATATTTTTCAATAAAAAAATCTTATATGTGCAAATTTATATTTTTCTCATCTAAAATGAAATTCAATTATCAATTCTACGCTTAATAATATCTACTTTAATATTCTCAGTATTACTAGCAATATCATTACTAGCATTACTGATATCATCAAAATTAGATGAAAGTAACTATTGTTTTCTGATAGTTTTCCTTCATTATTTCCCTTGAATAAATGTGGTATTAAAAGATTATGATAAAAAAGGATATTAATTGCCATAATTTATTCACTATTACGTATTTAATTAGGGTATCACGGCTTGTCGAATATTAACTAACAATGTTTACGGTATCTGAATTTAAATAAATGAAATGTTTGTTTGTAATTAAAAGAGGATTCAAAAGATTTAAACCACCGAAAAGTAGTAATTTGATATAAAATATATGAACGCGTCAAAAGCGTTATTTTAAATTTGATAAATATACTAAATTTAGAAAATATTCGAAAGATCATTATCGGTTTTATTTTTTTTTTTTTGAACGGGATATTTGAATATTTTATTTTCGGAGTTATATCCGGATATTATAAAGATTTCTTTGGATTGCTCGCTCAACTGGTTACTACTAGATATTAATAGCTTGAACGTTATGCATCAAAAATTAAATAAAGAACATCAAAATCGAAGTGATAGTATAAATATCAAATATTTTATTTAAAATTTTTAATTATTACGTGTAAAATTACATGTAATCACATGTACAGAGACTTATATGTTCTTACAATGTTTCCGACCTTATTATACCAGATATTTTATTTAAAGATGCTTCTAAATTATATTTAAAAGTAACTTGCTGTACGTCTTCAGCCTTATTTTTAGCAGTAGCAAACATTTCCATCTCACCAAATTTCAAAGTAAATGTAATTGTATTATCATCATCATAATCATCTACCCCTGTCAAGTTAACTTCCCATTTTCGAAATAGCTTTACATCTCGTAAATATTTTGCATCATTTAATGCTGTAATATACATATCAATATTCATTTTTTGTTGACTTAATGAATATGGTTTAAAAAATCTGGTAACTTCTTCAACCGTTGAAACTTGATGGCTCCTTTCCGCAAGTTTTTCAAAAACTTTTATATATCCATTTGGAAGTTTTAATTCCAATGGATCAGTCGGTTCCCATTTTCTTACTGCGATAGTACCTAAGAAACACAAAAGAAAGATTTAAATAATTCCTTTAAAGAAGTTAAATCGAGTTAAACGATATAGTTAAATCAAATACCATAAGTCCATTTCAATACGCGTTTCTTAATTTTTCCTGTAAGACCATATTTGACAGCTTAAAAAAATTAAAATATAAATACATATCGTTATGCTAAAGCGAAATAAAATTAATAAAATCATATTTACCTCCTCTCATAATAGATATAATAGGTAGATCAGGCACAGAAATCTTTGGCACTTCATCTTCCAAAAATTTTTGTCTAATTCTACTTTGTAAGTATTTAGACGTGCCGAATCCACCCACTAGCAACAATATAGAAATTTTTCTTTTCAATTTTTTCAATTGTTCCAATTGACCTCTTATTAATTTAAAAATTCTTTCTACAACAGGGTCAAACATTTTTTTGACATCGTCATGTTCCAATTCGATTAACCATTCTTTTTCTTTTAATTTCTCTTCTTCTTCTTCCTTAATATATTTTCTAAGTGGTTCATATTCCTTACCTTCTAAATCTAATTGAAAAGGTTGAAAATCTTTTTGGTTTTCCGTAAATTGCAATTTAACAGACTGACAGAAATTTTGTACGATATTTTGTAGATTAGTGTAATGATCTTTCTCATAGAGATCCATGGCAGACTTTCCGACTTTATCACCAAGAAATTCTATGAATGACCGGTCTATATTATATGAACCACAATCATCGCCAGTACGTACTGTTATTTCATTTAATTCATCGTCGTTTAATAATTCTTGCGTTGTTAAATCTACTGTGCCACCGCCACAATCAACCACCATGAACAAGTCTAATTGTATAAATAAAGAAATTTCATTGAATTTTTTGTTTTTATTTGCTTAAATGAATTACAACATATTTAATATAGTAAAAGACTAACCTCCCGGTCCCAATTTATGTTCATTTTTTAGGGTATCCATGGAGTTAATCGCTGCAGCTTCGGCTTTAAATTAAATAAAATTTGAATTAAATTCGCGTTCACGTGATATTTAACCAATACAATGCATGATTTTCGGCCACATGATAAATTTCGAAGCCGATTTTTTCTTGCCCCGAATTATATTTTAAACTCCCATTCATTACATTTAAGTTCAACTTACGTTCTGTTGTAAATTTCAAATTTTGACTATATTCCGTTGGAATCAATTTCGCATTAAACGCACATTTACGCATGATTGTAATCGCATCGTCATCAAATTCTGCAGGGATCTTTAGATAAAAAAAAACCCCCCAATTAAGAAAGAATTTCAATCATTTGCATAAAATTCAAAAAAAAATTTGATTTTTTTACACTACCGTTAGTACAACTACAACTTGTTTATCAAATTCCACATCGTTCCAATGCATTTTTAACCTAATTTTAATATCTTCACCTAACTTTTCCAAATAATCTGTAATGACTTGTTTATAATCTAATACATCTGGTAAGAATGGTTTTTCATATGTTAACGCACTTCCCAATAAATATAGTTTAAACCACTTGAGTGGTTTTGATGAGGTTTGAAAAGACCTATGTGATTTTTTTGATTTTTTTGTCAATGCGGATAAACCCCACGATTCTACGTTTTCGTAGGAATCATCATATTTTATGACCGTTGGCGTTTTATACAATCCTTCTCCTTCGGGTCCATTCCAATAATCTTGTGTTATGATAACTTTAGGATTGGCTTTATGAGCAAATGCGAATCCCTATAGTTATTTAATTTTTAAGAATAAATTAAAAAAAATGATATCAATTAGTTTTTCATGAATGTTTAAAGATAAATAAATTCTTACGGAATAAGTAGTTCCAAAATCTGAAATTCGTTAAAATAAATTAGTGCTTTCCTTTGCTTTCATATCATGTTAAAAATAAAAAAAGTAATATTAATAATTATTTTAGATTTAAACTTACCGATAGCCACCACAACGCGAATGTCATCACTTAAAGGCATCTTTTTTGTTAAAAAAAAAAAAAAAAATTTTTTTTTCCTTTTTTAACGATTTCAAAAAAGGTCCCTTTGAAGCTTTTATTAAATCATGTGACGTACATCATTTTTATTTTATCCCTTACATAAATGAAAAACAAAATGAAATCCAAAATGAAATCAATCAAACTGCAGATGTATTGTACACAGCCTATTTTTTAAAACGCTTATCATTGAGCCCATTAACGTCATTTAAAGGCATTTGAAAAAAAAAGTCACAAACTTTATTCTAAAATGGAAACCTTAATAAGCACATTAAAAAATCATCATCATAAAAATACAGTACATAATATATTCGATATTATCACAATCTCGTAAATCGAGCATGTTGTTCCTTATAAATATGATAAAGATAGAATTGGTATCCCGAATTTTCTCATCATAGCCATAACGTCATCCTAAACTCTTACAAAATGTCGTGGGATATTCGTTTCGTCGTCGGTTTAGGTACGTTAAGTACAGTACATATTTCGTTTATTAACATTTCATTCAATTAAATAAAATTTTTACATTTGACGCTTTCAAAGATTTTGGAACCACGTTTTCTGTAAGCTTTCATTTCCTTATAAATCGCTTATTGCGTTTAAAATTCATCAAATCAGTCTCATTCAAAATGATTTGATATTTATTAATAGGGATTCTCTTATTGTCATAAAGACGATACAACAATCAAAACAAATACTGAATGGCCTGGAGCGACGGTATATCCCTTTATTTGTTATTTTTCCATTCTGTTAACCCGCATTTATATATATATTTGATTTTTATATTGTTTTAAGGGTGAATTCAAAACTAATACAGTATTACAATATGATGAAGATTTGAATGTCAAATCATGGGGATATCCTGCGTTAGCTAAACGTCCAAAAAGAAATTTTGATATTAATGAACAAAAATATGTAGCAGAATTATTTAAACTGCATTTAGGTGACTTGAATGATAGTCTTAAACCGAACCTTCCAAATGGTTTGGAATATAAAAAAACAATCGTTGATTATCTTCGGGAAATTGGAAAGGTAAGCGTGTAAAGACGATTTAGTATTACTTAACTATCGCATTTGACTATACTTATTAATTATTTATAATTATTATTATTATACATAGTGGATCAAGATGACGATTAAAAAAGATTGGCCTCATTTTGACGAAACTAAATTTTTGGAACAAGTTCTTCTAGTCCTTACTGTTCCCGCCGAATATTCGGAAAAAGCAAAAGCTATAATGAGAGATTGTATTCATCAGGCTGAGTTAATTGATGAAAGAAATTCCGATAAATTACAATTTACTACGGAACGTAAGTGTAAATGCATAAATGCATAAATAATTTATTAATTATCGTTATTATTATTTACAACGAAATTCGTAACTTCTTTTAATTATACAGCTGAAGCCGCAGCGATTCATTGCAGAGATAGTCTCGGAGAACATGATTTAACTTGTGGAAGTATGTACTGCTTGATGAGAAGATAAAATCAATTTTTTTATTTATATTCCATAGTTAACTGATGGCGTTTTTTCTTTTCTCATCTTTTTTTTTTTGTAGCAATCTTCATGATTGTCGATTGTGGTGGTGGCACAGTTGATTTGACAACTCGAAAATTGCTAGACGGAAATCGTTTAGGGGAAGTTACAGAGAGAATAGGTGATTTTTGTGGAAGTTCTTTTGTCGATGGAGAATTTATTAAGTATTTAAGGAGAGAACTCGGAAATGAAGCTATAAATTTATTAAGAGATAATTTCTATGGACAAATGCAATTTTTGGTTCAATCATTTTGTCAAAACGCCAAATTACCATTTACAGGAGATGATCAAAATTTTTGTTATGAAATTAATCTTGAAGAAGTTTCTCCAGTTTTATTACAGTATGTGAGCGGTGAAAGGAGACAAAGAATGGAAGCTGCTGAATGGTTAATTAAACTTGATTACAACACAATCAAATCAATGTTTGACCCGGTCGTTGAAAGAATTTTACGTATGATGCATACTCAAATTGAAAATACTTCTGGACTTGTTATAACTCCTGAAAAAAGGAAGACTAATATAATTTTTTTGGTTGGGGGATTTAGTCAGTCAGCGTATTTGCAAAAAAGAATTAAAGAAAATTTTTCAGGTTATAATATTTCAGTCCCTAACAATCCGATCGCAGCAATTTCTCGTGGCGCAGCAATCTATGGCAAAAGCTTTAGTGAAATAGATATGTTAGATATGGATGGTCAATTCTCTATTATTGATTCACGTATATTAAGATATACTTATGGGATCAGAGTTTATAAATCCGGCGAAGGATTTCTTTTTAAAAGTTTAGCAAAGAGAGGAGATGAAGTTAGAATCAATGAAACATTTAGTGTTAGGGTTCAACCCAGTCATCCGTTTCAAAGCACTGGGTTATTTGAAATTTATTTCACACGTAATTTTTCAGCGAGAACCTGTGAAGAACCAGGAATGACATTATTTGGAATACTTAAAATTGATTGGTCAGACGATAAACATGTGATGGACAGACCAACTACCTTTAAATTGGCATTTGGTAAAATGGAACTCAAGGCGACAGCACAAAATGAAAATAATGGTCAAACTTATCAAACTTCCTTTGATTTAAAAGACGACGAATGAAATTTTTTTTTTTACATTATTTTTTTTTTTTTGTTACAATATTTACTAGGATTCTTTTTTTTTTTTTGACATTATTTTTTCTGTTGCAATATTTACTAGAATTCTTATTTTTTTAAAAAAATTTGATAAAAAATAAACGTTTTATTTGTTATATATATATATATATTATATATGCTATTTCGCATTTTATAAATACATCGTAAATTCTAAAGTTTGAAAATTCCTAAAATCATGCTGCTTTATGATACATCTTCGTCGGACTCATTTGAACTAATGGCAGCTCGTGAAAATACTTTTGCAGTTGTATACACTTTTATGTTTGAAGACGTCAAATCTCGCCCAATGAGAGGAAAATAACAAATACCTACACGTAATTGGTTGATATCATCATCGTCCCAATTTCCGTTCATTTTATTTGGATCAATTTTAGTATTCTTTGCAAACAAAAGAGGTTCCGCGATCGGTTCTTGAACATGTAGACGAAAACAAAATAATTGGTAAATATCTTGAATAAGTTTCGGTGCCATGGCTTCAATTTTATTTTTTCTATCATTATCATTGATTTTCCGATACTGATTCATCATTTTATTTAGTTCATGGCTAGCATAATTTATGAGATCATGCGTAAAAGTTTTAGAAGTTCCATCATCATCAAGATCGATTATATCATTGAATCCGCGATTACCAAGTATTCCATAAACTTCTTGACGTATTTTTATCGCCGCAGCGTCAATAACTTTGTCAGTACCAACGCGAGTTTTCGAGAGGTTGTCGATTAATTCTAACAATTCTCGCGTTTTTATATCAATATTCAATTCAAGTGCGACATTTGAACCTTGATATTCAGATAATTTAAAGGAATAATCTTGTACTTGATCTAATATTTTGCGTTGTAAAATAGCTTTAATAAAGAGTTTATCTGCCTCAGTAATTTCATTGAAACATCCATATTCTTTCGCAAGGTTATTTACTTTTTCAATATCGATATCCATGTTAGGTTTCAAGTGAGTAACATAATTTTCCAATGATTTCTGTAAATTTAAGATGTCTTGTTTGAATTTAACCGAATGATTTTGATCATCGTCACCAAGCCGAGTATTTGTCGCTACACCGAGGGCTGATTGATACTTAGAGGCCTCTTCTCTAAGTTTGGCATTTTCTTCTTCTAATTCACGTAAGCCGTTTCCCTTATCATTTAATTTTTTTTGTATATTATTAAGATTCTTACTATATCTTTCTTGTGATTGTTGCAATGCTTGATCGAAATTTTTCTTTTGTTTCTTTATATTTAGTTCTAAATTATCGATATTCCTCTCGTAATTTTCTTTCTCCCTAACAAATTCTTGCTCCATAATTCGTTTCTCTCTATCAAATTCTTGCTCCACATTTCGTTTTTGCAATGCGAGGCCTTCATTACGTTGTTTATAAGATTTTACTTCATTTTCTAAGCTTTTTAATTTTGAGTCGAATTCTTTCTTTGCTTTTGTTTGATTTTGCTCCAGTTGTTTCTTTTCGTTAACAAATGCTTGCTCCATATTTCGGTTTTTAAATGCAAGTTCTTCATAACGCTGTTTATAAGATTTTACTTCACTTTCTAAGCTTTTTAATTTTGAGTCGAATTCTTTCTTTGCTTTTGTATGATTTTGTTCCAGTTGTTTCTTAGATGCTTTCTCTTTTGACAAATTACTGTCAAGCTTACGGCGAAACTTTTGTAATTCTTCATTATTACCTTTCACTTCCCTTAATTCTTTTTTTAATAAATTATACTCTTCTTTAAATTCATCTTTCTTGTGTTTGAGCCTTTTTATTACTTGTTTGGGATCCTCATAATCATCGGATGATAATTCTTTCCTAGTTTGAGGAGAATAAGGTGTAATTCCGTCATCGTTACCAACCTCTTCTGTTCTATTTTTCGTTTGAGAATAGTTATCTGTCTCCCTTTTAGAGAAATAATTGAAATAATTTAAAAGAGACATAGCGAAAAAATATTAATGTTCTTTACTGCAAACCGTATCTTAACGCTTTTTGTATAAAAAAAAATGTGATTATTAGTTTATCACCAGAATAATATGTTATCACAACAAACCAAATATCACTTTATTTACCCATTATTTCTCAAATTTAAAATGAATAACATAGCCTCATGCACACAATTTCTAATTTATGTGAGATTACCAAAAAAAGCCGTGAGAAATTTTTTAAGAGAAATTGATCAATATTTTGCTTGGGTAAACTTTAAACATTCATTTGTCATTACAATCAATGTCTCCTTAATATTGTTCAAATTGTTCAAATTGTTCATTGTAGAAATGTAGATAAGTAGATAACCAGAATCATTTGATATTTATTCAAAATAGGATTTCATTGAGGGTTAATTCCGTTCTCCGAATTTCTTCTGTATAGAATTTCCTTACAGATCTATTTATTGCAGCATAAATTAAGAAAATAAGTATAGACGCCAACACCTGATAGATTTCTGTTTTAACTAATAAATCCTCAACGAAATCATTCTTAAAGAGAGATCTTTTAATTATTGATTTTTATTAAATGGAAGTCGATCTTTGTTTTGTTATGGATTGTACCGGTTCTATGGCATGCCATATTGATGCTGCTAAGAACTGTATTCTTAATGTGGCAAAATACATGGAAGATATGAAACCGAGTATTAAAATTCGTGTCGGTTTCTGTGGCTATCGCGACTACTGCGATGGTGCTGACCGCCTGCTGATTTTCCCCTTCACTGACTCATGCATGAATTTAGAAAATGACTTATCTACTGTTTTAGCCAAGGGTGGTGGAGATATCCCTGAAGACGTCCTAGGAGGTCTTGATGCAGCCGTAAACCAAATGACCTGGCAAAATAAAATCCGCGTTCTTTTCCACGTCGGTGACGCTCCACCACATGGTCGTCGTTTCACTAGCATGACTGAAGATTATCCGGAAGGCGACCCAAATCATCTAACTGCAGAAAATGTACTAGAGAAAATGCAATCGGAAAACATCTTCTACTTTTTTGGTAAGATCAATAACCTTACCGAAAAGATGGTTAATATATTCCATAGTATAATTGGAGATTTTTCAGTGTTTGATCTCGAGATCGTAGAAGGAAACCCGGAAGCATTGATCTCCAAATTTTTTGAAGCTACTTGTTCAGCGATCAACACTGCTGTTTCATTGAGAGAGTAGTAGTTATTCAGAAAACCATTAGAATTGAAGATATATACTGGCAATAAATTGTGAAATAGTTCAGAATATCTATTTTAGGTCCGATTTAGTTGTATTTTTTTTTTTTTTTATTTTATTTTATTTTATTTTATCTTTATTTTTTTATCTTTATTTTTTTTTTTATGTTAAATGTCAAACATTTTTTTACGCCTTTTTTTCCCATCGATTTTGATTTAAAACAACAAATAAAAAAGGTCTGTGGCCATTACCATTAATGACTCAATTTGGACTTAGATAATGCAAATTAGTCCCTTTTTTAATCCCTTTTGGAAACAAAGAAAGATTTCGATAAACAAAAATACAAAGTTACATCATACGACTTATTACTTAATATTGTGACAATTCTGTTTTGGGAATCAATAAAAAATGTTTGATTGTGATAAAAACAAGATCATTGCCATTTTCGGTAATTTCCAAATTCAATTCCCATGGCGCAGTAATCAATAACTTTAGATGCACGCGTATTAAATTTAAAATTGTTTATTGCGTCAAAGCAGACAATTAAAGATTATAAATGTAAGAAAAAATAACAAAATTTCCTTTATTTATTGTAATATTTGTCATAATAAAAAAGAATATAATATAATTGATTTGAAAAAAAAAAAAGTAAAATAAAATAAAATTTGTCTGCGTAAAATTTTGAGAATTTAAAATTCTTGTTACCTCATCTGCTTGCTTCGTTAATCTCATCCGAATTGATTATAGCTTGTGGAAATCACATTTGCAAGTGTATACACTTTTCTGTTTGAAGACGTCAAATCTCGCCCAATGAGAGGAAAATAACAAATACCTACACGTAATTGATTGATATCATCATCGTCATCGTTCCAATTTCCTTTCATCACATTTGGATCAATTTTGTCATTCTTTTCAAAATAATGAAGATTCACTATCGGTTCTTGTACATTAAAACGAAACCACATTAATTTGTAAATATCTTGAATAAGTTTTGGTGCCATTGCTTCAACTTGTTCTTTCCTAGCAACATCATTGATTATACGATACTGATTCATCATGTTATTAAGTTCACGGCTAGCAAAAATTATGAATCCATGCGTAAAAGTTTTAGAAGTTCCATCAGCATCAAAACAAATCGCATCATTGAATCCACGATTCCCAAGAATTCCATAAACTTCTTGACGTATTTTTATTGCTGCCACACCAGTAACTTTGTCAGTACCAACGCGATGCTTAGAGAATATGTTGATTAAGTTTGTCAATTCTTGTGTTTTTAAATCTATGTACAATTCAAGTGAGACATCTATATCTCGATGGTCAGATAATATAGAGGAAAGAAATGTCACTTGATCCAATACTTTGCGTTGTAAAATGGCCTTAATAAAGGGCTTATTTTCTACGTTAATTTCATTTAAACAACCATATTCCTGCGCAAGGGTTTGTATCTTTTCAATATCAATATCAACATTAGGTTTCAAATGAGTTACATAATTTTCTAATGATTTCTGTAAAATTAAGATATCTTGTTTCAATCTAACCGAATGATTTTGATCATCATCACCAAGCCGCGTATTTGTCGCTACACCAAGTGCTGATTGATATTTAGAGGCTTCAAATCTAAGTTTGGCATTTTCTTTTTCTAACTCACTTAAACCATTTCCCTTATCACTTAATTTTTTTTGTAAAATATCAAGATTCTTACTAAATTTTTCTTGTGATTGTTGCAATGCTTGATCGAAAATTTTCTTTTGTTTCTTTAAATTTAGTTCTAAATTATCGATAGTCCTCTCGTAATTTTCTTTCTCTTTTAAAAATTCTTGTTCTATATTTTCTTTTTGTAAGACAAGCTCAAGTTTACAATTTTTCAGTTCTTTTTCTAAATTTATTAGTTTTGAGTTGACTTCTTGCTTTGCTTTTGAATAATAATAATCCTTTTTTTTCTTAAGTTCTTTATTCACATCACTTAATTGAGTTTTTAAAAATTTATTTTCTTGTCTGGCTTCGTGCATTTCATTTTTTGATACATTATTATTATCATTGATAATTTTCTCTAGACTTTTATTATTATCGTTCGCATCGTTTAATTGGTTTGTTAATGAAGCATTATCTTGTTTGAGACGTTCATAACGCTCATTCTTGGATTGTTTATTTTCTTGTTTGCGCTCATCATTGGATTTTTTATCCAACATTTTGGCGTCATACACAATAACAACATATTTCTATATATATATACTTGTTTTGCAAGCATGTGATAATTAAATTTATGTGACAATTGCATCTTGTCACATATATATGTCACTATAAATGTTTTGTCGCACAGCATCTGATATGAGATAAATTAATCTATTCTTGTTTTTTTTCTCGTTTTTAGTTTATTTATATAATATATATTTATTTATTTAATGAAAGGATTACTTCTAATATATAAACACATATGTACAATAACAACTCTGTGATCGTTTTTAGGAAAAAAAAAAAAAAAAGATATTTCATAACCTTATACCTCTTTGAACAATATTCTCTCATATTAACTAATAAATCAAATTGTTTTTAGTTAATTGTTACTATTCTGATACGTTATTTGTATACTTATAACTGATATACATATCTAATGGAAGTAGACCTTTGCTTTGTTATGGACTGTACTGGTTCTATGGGGAGTCACATTAACGCTGCTAAAGCCTGTATCTTAAAGGTCTACTTCCATTAGATATGTATATCAGTTATAAGTATACA